TAATCATTTCCGAGCTACAGCCTTTGTTATTTTTTTTAAATTTCTAAAAAAATCGAAATGTCTCAAGAATTTTTGTTATAATTTTTTTTTGTTTTTTTCGATGTGCTACAATAATGCAATGCGCATTTTTCATACATAAACACCCTGCACACATACTTATGTTTTTTATGTAGTTGTTTTTCTACAGCTTAATTAAAGGTATATAATATTAACTTAAACATGAAGTTTGTAATGTAACCACTTGGAAGAGTGGCCGCAGTATAAACATGTACTTAAATACAAATGTATGTTTATATAGCGTAAACTAAGCTCTATGATATTTTGACCATTGAGCTCTTAAGACTTGACTTCCTTTTTATTAAGTACGAATTTGACTATACCAAAAACGTTTAGGTTTTATTATTTTTACTGTTAAAGTAATAAATTTATTTTTTTTTACTTGAAAATAAATTATTGTTAATATTACTTTATAAAAACTAAATTTTTAAGCATAACAGTCATTTATTCACTTAAAATTTAAAGAGAAGTAAAAATAAAGAAATGTACAAATAAGGTTTTGACACACTGTATGTCAAGTAATAACATTTCCTAGCTCAATAATATTTTTCTATAAAGTTTATCGCTTAATTCATTCAATGATGCACAATAATATGCAGTTGCAATCCAAAAAAGGTATGAATCCGAGTAAAGTTTTTGACATCATTTAAACAATTAATTTAAATTGACAAAATATTAACACTTGTTAAACTTAATTGTTAACATTTGTATTACTTTAACTGTATATTTATATACTGTTAACTATAAGAAAGAGTGGCTAAGTGGCGCAAAAGTGATGCGATAGTTTGAATCAAAAATTTCGCCGCACCGCAAAACTGCCGCCGCATCAGTGTGTTTTTGGTGCTTCGTGGTAGTGAACGATTCGTATTTGTCTGTATTAGAGTGTTTTATTTGACACAATTATTTTTCCTCTAAAATAATCAAAAAATATATAGCAATTTTTATAAATATATTCACAAAAATTGCTTTGCACTAAAACGGTTAAGCTATCGAATAGATTGTTGATAATTATCGCTACGTACTGTAATTTTAATATGTTGTTATAATGTTCAAATCAATCCGAATGCATGCATTTTGTTTTTGTATTTTTCGTGAAATTTAAAATTGAACATTTTCCAATATTTTCAATAAGCAAATAGAAGTTAATGTGAATTCTATTTTTCCTCTCTATTGAACATTAATAAGGAAGTATCAGTTACGAGCTTAAAGTATTAATTAAGTTTGTTTAAAATGAATAATATGTATTCTTATATAAACATACATATGTACGTTCATACATTGTTAATTATACATCATTTATATATTGTTTTTTTTTCATTTTTGTATATTATACATACATATATAACGTATATTAAATTTAAATTCTGACATATGTATGTATAAATCCATACTATGCAATACATATGTATGTATGTATGTACTTTTTTTTTTATACTAGCTGTTTAACTAAATTTGTTTTGTAACTTTCCGTTTGTAACGTTGAGAAATAACGGTCTTAGATATAAACTCAAGTGTATGTTTTTGATCAGCGTCGAATTCTGAGTTGATTTAGCTTTGTTTGTCCTCCGTCCGTCCGTCCGTCCGTCCGTCCGTAAGTCCGTCCCAACGATAACTCAAAAACTAATTGAGCTAAGTTCACCAAATTTTCACAAATGATTTACTATAGTAAGTGCCAGAACCCTATTTAAATTGGACATGATCGGGGTACCGGTTCGGGTAGCTGCCATACAACTTCAAAATTTATTTGGCTATATCTCAGAAACTATAAAAGCTGTAATATTGATATTTTACACAAGCGAATATATTAGTACGGCCGATGTGCTTGAAAAAATTTGTTAAAATATTTTGGCTCTTTCTGGTAGCTGCCATACAACTTCAATAGTAGTTTGGCACACACAGTATTTTGAAAAACACAGTACTGAAATTTTGCATAAATTAATATGGTAATACGGCAACTTAAAGTCATTGTCTGTTCCATAGCCAGTTATGGCTTATTTATTCGCACATACTATAACCAATTCGTACGGGTATCACAGAGTTGACAAGGTCAACTCTATTTTTTCTCGTTTTTATTTAGAAAAAAGGACCGAAAATAAACTGACTACAAGAAATTTGGAACTCAAGTGTCCAATTATAGCTCAGACATATCCGTGAAGCTTTTGTGGAAAATGAAATAATTTGGCAGGTTCTACTAGCTGCCACACAACCATAGAAAGCTAAATTTTAAATATTTCAAACACAACTTTTTATAGTCAGATTGTCAAGGTACAGGATATAATTTAGTTCGTTTAAATTGATTGAAAAGTTTTTGTATAGTTTTATTCACTTCTAGTTCTAACTATAATTAAACGGCTTAATATTTTGATTCGTTATTTAAATTTGTTGCTAATTTAAATTATACAAATGTGTAATTTATTAAGAAAATTGTTTATCTTGAGCCTGCATATTCTGTAAATTTATGTATATGTGTATATACTATTAGAAAATATTAATATTCTGCTAAAACCTTAAAAAAATGATTGCCGACTTCTGTAAAAAATCAAAAGCACATCCTTTCTAGTAGCAATTTTTATTAAAAGTGTGAGTTATGTATGTAAGTATGTACATATATGTATGCATATATATTTTTTATGTTGCGGTTGAAATATTTAATTTAAGAAATCTTAAAATTCTGTTTGAAATTGTGTTTGAAAAAAGTTCAAAAACGTTTTTGCTTTAAAACTTGTATATATTGACACGTACAATATATTTATTCTTGCAATGCAAAGGTTTTACTTTTTTAATAAATTATTTTAGCTTTAGTTATTCATGTTTATAAAATTTAATTGATATTTATAAAATAATAAATAATTTCAAAATGCATTCAGTTATTATTAAAAAGTTTCTTCTATTTCAAAAATATTCGATTTGATTTACTTTGTTTTTTTGGTGAGAATATGTGTTTTATGTAGAACATATACAATAAAATAAATATATGTATGAAAAAGCAAAACTTTTCACATCTCAGATAGTTAAGAGGTTAAACATCTCACAAGATTTATAATAGTTTAAATGAAAATATAAAAAAAATAAATCTAGGATTTTCTATCAGAACATGATATCTACATTTTTGACAAAAAAAAGTTATGCATATAGAATTACTTTAAATTTTAGGCACTTTCTAATGCAAGAAAAAAAATTTAATTTTTATATAGGTTTTAAAACAGTTCTTGAAGAACATTATAACTAAACAATTGTTCAAAAAATTTTTCTGACAAAATTAGATACATATAAACAGTTATTCACTTCTCGAGATCATACAATTTTTTAAGAAGGTATTGAAATATACTGGTTTCTTTACTGTTTCTAAATTTAATATGTAAATGTTCATGCTGGTTATTTTCTTATAAGTGAAAATAATAAAATAATTTTCAAGTCACGGTCTAGGAAGTACATTGTTTTTTTGTGACATATGACTTAGCTGCTGTAATTAGAAAATTCAAAAAATGAATCAATCAATAAAACTCAAAGTACAAAACTTGTACAACAAACAAGTGGTTTAAAAATTTAAGTTTTACAATAAACTTGGTAATAACTTAAAAAAATATAAATTAAAAATTTATCACAAAGTCTTATTTTTTATATTACCTGCATCAAATTAAGCAAATCGTCTTTCATAAACTGAAATATAAATTTGAACTGAAAAATAAATTTGAATATTACATGAATCTTAAGATCATTGTAAAAAAATACAAGATATATTACTCGTATATATGCAGATGTTGATATGATTATAAAAATTAACATAAATCGCGAAAAAGTTGGAGTATAAGCAGCTTTTTTGGCAAAGTTTATTCAATTTTTGTATGTGAAATTTGTCACATCAATTACAGAATTTCAGATCAAAATACATTGTAGAACCCTTAAAGCATACAAATCACACAAATGCATACTATATGTGTATAACAAATTAAGTTTTTTTTTTTGGAAAACATAATTTTTCAATTTTAGTACAGAGAATAGATATTTAAAATTTTATTGATTACAAAATTATTGAATTAATTATGATGTTAGCTAGGTTTAGATTTAAATTAGTGAAACGTTAGATTAGAGACAACAATAAAAAAGTGAAAATTAAAATATTTCATTGATTTTTGTAATAAGTTAAATAAATAATAAAAAAACACTGTGAAGAAAAGAAAATGAATGATTAGTCCAATGAAAATTTCAAAAGAAGCTTAAAGTACAAAATAATATTCAGTATAAAAGTAATTATCTTTCGCCTTAAAGCTACAAGCTTAATTGTACTTCTAAATTAATTCTATTTTATTTACTTCGATTTTATTTTTCCTCGAATTTAAGCATGTTGCATGGCAGATATGTTAAATATCTGCCAGTAATTTCGATCATTTTCGATCCATTCTCTTTACATAAAAAAAAAGCTATAAAACATAAAAAACATTGGGTGCAAAATAAAATACTTAAAAATATCTTTTAATAATGCTCTCTACTCGAAAGTGCTTAGTGGGCTTTCAGAAAGATAAAATAGACAAAGGTTATTAAAATTAAAAATGTCACACAGTTTATATAAAATTTTTATAAAATTTCTTCTAGAATTTGATTGGCATAAAATGTTATTTGCTTAGCGAAATTATGAACATGTTTTTAAATTTTTCAAAAAACTGTTAAGTTTTACAACATATCCATACATATTATAAAAACATCCATGCTTTTAGTACTCAGTACATTTTTACTAAGGTTTATGAGAAATCCAAAATTAAAAACTAATGTTACTTACTGTCTTTAATTTTAGTGTTATTTTCGTTCAGTGTAAAATAATTAATAATTTTATGAAATAAAAAAAAATTTTAATAACACATTTCATGTTTTTTGCTTAACTGTAAATTGGAATCAATTAATGATATTTGTATTTGCTTTAAACTATTACTTTTAATTCTTTGCAGCATGGATGATTGTGAGCGTATGGGAAGAAGAGAAAAGGATCGACTGGCTAGACTAAACTTAAATCAAACACCAGATCCGGTGGTCTCACTTTTTCCGGATCCAGTACGAGTAAGTATTAAAACATCAAAAAGAATTACAACATATTTCATAAAAAACGTTCTTAAGTTTTAGTATGCATCTAGTATAAAAACAATAATATATATATTTTTTTTTATTGTTTTATTTTTATTTATATATAGTTAAGCCCATCTGAAGGTGATAATCATATCTCACAAACGTTAGGCGATTTTTCAAAAGCAAAACCTCTTATTGAAAGTAAGGTTTATATTGGTATATCTACATCAAATCGACGTCCACATGGTAACGTTAGTAGTAGTAATAAGTATGCAACCAATCCATTACTGGGAGCGAATAATGGAACACAACAACAATCACCATTGCCATCATCAATTCAGCATGGATCAGCAATATTAAATAACCGTCATTCAATATCTGGTCCAATATCACAACAACAACAACCACAAACGTTGCCGTCACATTCATCTTCTGCAAATTATCCTCCACCGCCTTACCCTTCTCAATCAAGATCAGGATTACTTAAACAGCAAACTGATAATAAACCGTCTTACAATGGCCGTGGAGGGTACCCAGGCCAATTACCTAAACATGAACCTCCTGGCAACGTTAATCGTATATCAATACATAAAGGACTCCAAATTCAACAAACTCAACAACAATCGAGCTTACAACCATCACCGTCATCTTCTTCAATGATGCCAAATGGTAGGCTTTCTTCAGATAAAAGTGGGGGAGCTAGTAATGGAAGTGTGGGTAATACAAGTTACCCAATACTTTCACACCATATGCCAAATGGAAGATTTCCACAAACAATTCCACCAAAACCATTGAATAAATACTCACACCATCCTGACAGGGTAAAGTATAAAAGAATGTATTATTAAAAATTTATTCCAATTTTCTGCTTTAGGATAAGGATAACTTAATAAATGGCGATGTTGAATCATTTCATAAAGATGTACCTATAACGTACAATACAACGGGAACTGTTGATGTTGTAACCCCGAAGGATAAACTAGATATCAATCCACCAAATACATATGCCGATCATTCAACACATTTTAAATCGACACATACTAATAGCAATAATAACAATAGTACTAATAATAATATTAATAGTCATAGTGCTAATTTTAGTGACCCTAATATTAATAATAATATTGTTAAGAACAATGTGCCTGTGTGTAACGATAAGCCAAGGTAAAGTAAATTGCAAGTGCATGTTTTTTCCAAAATATTTATTTGACTATTAAGTTAATTGAAAAATATTTGCAGTTTTTTCCCTGTTAGTGTTTTGACAAATGATCTTGATCTTTCCGATAGTGAGGAAGAGATAAAACATAAAAAGAGCGCATCTGTAGATCAGTAAGTTTGTATAATGAGTTAAAAGATTTTAAAAACGTTTTTAATTAATAAAATTAGGTTTAAAACATTAAAATACTAATTAATATTGTTATTTTTAGGATGTCTGCTAATTCCAGTGATAGTACGGAATCGGGATCCAGTGAGTCGGGAAGTGAGGAGTCTAATGGAACCAAAGGAGAATCCCAGAATCGTAAGAAATTTTTTAATTGTTATAAAAGAAAATTATCATGATTAATAAATCGAAAAAATGATAAAAAGATGATCAACACTAAAGTTTCTTTTTGGACCTTTTTCCAATTTAGTTTAGATTAGTTTCCAAATATTGTATTTCATTATAAGTAAACACTTTTATTTTAAGTTAAGTTAACATTGGAGAATTTGAGTAACAAATAATATTGTAGAATATCTACATATTTCTCTGAATTCAATTATCATATTTACAATCTTTCATTTAAATTAGAAACCTTCATAAAATTTTTAATTTGTAATTTTTAAAAAATGACAATATAATGTACATATTATGAATTATACATACATAATAAGTAATGTACATATGTAATATGTATATAATATTGTTTGTATGTAATATCATTTACTTTAAACAAAATTTAAACTATAATCTAGGTAACAGAAAATAAAAAGTATAAAGATATATGCATAAATGATTTTAATTATAAACTAAATACATACGTATACACATATACTTGTGAAATTGATTTTGCTTTACAGTCGCATAAATGAAAACAATTAAGTCTTAATTTAGTATAATATTAATTGAAAACATAAAACTTTAATTAACGTTTTTTTGTAGAATCAAATCAATGGGATTTAAAAAAATTTTTTCCACAACGTGTAACCACGCAAACTCAATCTATTCAGCAGCATCGACAAATACAGCAGAAACAACAGTCGTTACAGCAACATCCAAAATCACAGCAAATTCGTCAAAATCAACTTCAAAATACAAATAATAAAAGTTTGAGTGTCTTGTCAGATACATCAGTGCTCTCCCAGCCGTGCTTGTTGGTAGATCAACAAACAGTTATTAAAGATGAACCCGTATCTGGGGATGACGATCCTAATCAGCCAAATTCGCCGTTGCCAAATATAAACCACATTAAAAAGGAATCGGAAGTGTTATATCAAATGGCAAGTGATGGAATAAAATTTGAAAAGAATATACCAAGCCCAAATCATGACGATTTATTTGATGACGAGAGAAGTAATCATTTGTTAAACATAACAACAAAACCACCGCTAGGGAATTTAGAAAATATAAACCCTAGTGATATTATTAATACAGATTTAAGTAGTAGTAGTGATGAAGACGATGTTGAACATCAAGAAAAGTTGCAACGTCGAAGACAACAACAAAAACAAAAACAATTAGTGCGGGAACAATTTCAGGAGCAACAACAATCGCTTCCACAGCAACTGGCATTACAGTTGCAGCAACAAAATCAACCAGATATTCCTCAAACACAAACGACTTCGTCGCCAAAATTATCGCAAATAGTAAGTGGCTTAAAAACTTCAGCAAATAAAGAAACTGATGCGCAATCCATTAGTGGTGCTTCACCAAATAAAAAACCTAAAAAACGACGAAAAAAAAATAATAATTTGACAGCAGATACCAGTGAGGATGAAAATGAAATTCTAAATAAAAATAAAAAATCCAAACCAGATCCCAAAGAAAAGAAACGTAAGCCTGGTCGGCCGAGGAAAAGTTTAACACCATGTCAAAGTAATAACGTAATTGGTGCTGGTAACATTTCCAGTTCTATAAGTGCGAATCCTTTACGCATGAAAAAGACTGATAGTTGTTCGAGTGCAGTTAATATTAGTTTGAGTAATAATTTACCGGCATCTTCCATAAACACTGCAAACACTGTTCCAAAGAAAGTAACGATTGATCGGCGAAGCTCTAGACAATCAGTTACAAAAAATCGTGTTATAATTGAAAGCTCTGGCAGTAGTTCATGTAGTAGTATGGAGGATGGAGATGTGAACGGGTCTAAAAAAGTTTTAGTTGATTCTTCTTCAGGAAATATGTTGCAAGTGCGTTCCGGTGCTATTAATAGGGATAATAATAATCAAAATCAGCAGCAGCAGAAAATTCCACATCCTTCTCAAATAAATCATATAAAAGGTCAAATACACTCGCAAAAATCGAAAACGAGTAATTCGCAACTTTCGGAAGACGATAGTGATGATGAGGAAGAGGACGACAGCGACGATGACGACGATGAGGATGACAGTGGCAATTCCTCAAGCACAACCTCTGAAGATTGGACTGGGGATGTCTCAGAAAAAGATGAAGGTGGTAAATATTCGTCGAAAAACTGTGACACATCCACCTCAACTTCGAGTGATGATTCCGATAGCGATAGTGACGATTCCCAATCGAATAAAGTAAATTTTTAGTTTTTGAAAATTTTAGGTAATAGAAAAAGTAAACTAATGATTTTTCTTTATGTTTCAGCGTGATAAGCCAAAAAGTGATAAAAAGAAAGTCGATACTTTAAAGAAAGTGTTTGTGCCAGGTGGTACAAAAAAAATTAGTCAAATACACGTACACGAAGAATTGGTAAGATTACCAAAAATGTTCTTAAGAATGCTAATAATAAAAGAAAAGTCAAAAGTACAACATCAAATAGATTTTCGATAATGCTCAGATGAAAATGAGAACTTCCAAAATAGCATAATACAAATTATTTTTATTCACACAATATCATTGCTTTTGTTTACATACTAAAATATCTGGTAGGCAAAGGAAAATTAACATAAGAATTGTTATCCTGTGCAAGGGTCCAAAAATATTTCATAAAATAAATTTATAATTGTTCCGCATCTTTAAATTTTTTAAATATTTAAAAATAAAGAACATTTCCTTAATTCGAAACATACAATTAATTCAAGGTAATATGTATTTCGTGCTCAACATAAGCACTTTATGTTCTATTTATTTGATTTTCTTCTATTAGAACAACATTAAAATTAACAACCTCTTTAATGGTCGTAGTTATTTTAAAACTGCCAAACTTGTCAAGATACTAATTTAAATAGACAATTGTCCGTATTTAACAAGTAGATCTTGTTGGATTTGCGTACCTGTATGATCATGTAGATTTTTTTTGTATCTTTTCCTGATCACGGTTATAAAATTTCAATTATCTGTTCCACATAAATGTTTGGCAACCACAGATTTAAAGAACGGTATGGTTATAAAGGATTTATATGGGACCGATACAGTCACATACATTTGAGCTGAAGTTGTAGCTAATGGGAATAGTTAATGCCTTATTTTTCATGTATAACATTAACTCCTTTATTTACTTTGAAATATAATTATTTTATAATTAATGTTCTTATTTGTTTTTTAATTATAAACTTTTTTAACGAAGAATCAACCAAAGGAAGCTCATGAAAAAATATTATCACCTATAAATGCCTTTAAAACAAGTACAATATCCTCAAGTAGTACAGAAAATTTGATCGGCGGCAATATTTTAGATACGACAAATAATCAACATGAACAACAGCAACAACATCATCATCATTGCTCTAAATTGCCTCACCAAAAATCGAATACAGTCTCACCTTCTACATCTACTACAAGTGGTGTATCAAATCAACAGCAATTACAATTATTGAATTCATGTACTCCGTTGTTATCAACATCAAATCAAAATAACTGTAGCAATAATAATAGCAATAACAAATTAAATATCAGTGCTAATTGCAGCGTTAAAAATAATAATAATTTCATTAGCAATAGTAGTAATAATCAAAATTTACAACAAATTCAACAACAAAAAAACTCACAGCAACACAAAATTTTAAAATCTCCAAGAAATAGCAGCAATAAAATAACAACACCTCTAATAAAGACACCGGAAAGAAAACCAACACAATCCAACTCTCCACAATTGAGAACATCCCAATCACCAAAAATCAAACCAAGCATACAGTCACCCAAATTAAAAGCTTCACACTCGCCACAAATAAAACAAGCTATACATTCGCCAAAATTAAAAACGAACCAATCTCCACAGCTGAAACCAATTTCATCACCACAATTTAAAATTGCTCCGCCCCCAATATCTGCGACAATATCCAGTTTATCAAAACAATCAGAGTTTTCTCCTAAAGCAAAAACCTTACCAGAATTTTCACCAAAATCCAGTCCTTCATTGACGAAACCAAATCAAACAACCAATCACACTCAGGAAATCTCTTTTTCTCCAGCAAACTCGGTTCCTGGATCTACTTCTTTAATTTGTTCGATAGAAATAGCTCGTATATGCGTACGGCAAGAATGGTATAACAAGAAATATCAGATACCGGGACGCCATGAACGAAATTTAAGTCCAAAACGAATAAATAAAAGCCCAGGAAGTATAAACGATATTATGATAGCAAGTGATTCGATTAAAGACGCAAGTGTTGAAAATAACAGACTGAAAGGAGCACCTATCTCACGAAGTAGCTCCAGCACTCAGTTGAATATGTCGATGTCATCGGATTTGAAATCACCCGTACATTATTTATCAACAGATACTGCAACAATAGGCTTACCAACTCAGGCAGATGCTGTTTATGAATTATCTAAAAAAAATATTCACACTGCTACTGTTTTAGATTGCATACACAACATTAATTGTATTGAAAGTAGTAATAAAAGTAACAACATAAATGTTAGTAATAAAAATAATGAGAGTACTAATAATGGTAATAATAACAATTATGTTAAAATCAATAGCACTAATAAAAACAATAACACTAAGGATAACAATAAAAATAATAACAGTAAGAATAGTGATAACTTTTCTAATAACAAAAACAATGAAAATAGTAACGAGAAAACAAATAGCAAAACTATTGATCTTGAAAACAAGGACACAAATGGTGATATCATAAGTAATAATGATAGTAATAGCAAAAGTAGAAATAACCATAATAACAACAATATTAATAGCATTGATAATAATTACAGCGATAGCTGTAATAATAAAGCGAATACTATAGAATTCAAAGATGATAATATGAATTATAACAATAATATTAATGATAGTAACAATAATAGTAATATGAATAATAATAGTAATATTAATAATAATATTAATAGTAATAATAATAACAATAATAATATTAATAATAATAATAATAATAATAATAATAATAATAATAATAATAATAATAATAACAAAAATAATAAAAATAATAAAAATAATAATAATAATAATAATAATAATAATAATAATAATAATAATAATAATAATAATAATAATAATAATAATAATAATAATAAGAATAATAATAATAATAACATTAATAATCGTAATAGTAGTAATGACAACAGTAATAATATAAATAGGACTAATAATAATATTGATAATAGTAATGATAATAAGATTAATGATAATAGTAATACTGTCAATAATAATAGTGATAACAATAAACACAAAAATTATAGTCACAATATTGCTAATAATGTGTCTAATAATAGTAATATTAGTAACACGAGCGATGATATTAACAGTAATAATGCCGACAATAACAATAATAGTAGCGTTCAAAATAAAAGTAAAATGGATAAAAAGAATAATGTTGAAAGCTATAATGATAATAGTGATAGCAATAACAAAAATGAAATTAAAAAGGGTAGTGATAGCAATGAAAATAATCCATACAGCAATTTGGCTAATGAAAACGCTCTAAATGATAATGTCGCTAATAATAATGCCGCTAATGATAATGTTGCTGGTGATAATAATAATAATAATAATAATAATAATAATAATTATAATAATAATTATAATAATAATAATAACAATAATAATATTAATAATAATAATAATAACAATAATAATGCTAATAATAATAATAATAATAATAATAATAATAATAATAATAATAATAATAATAATAATAATAACAATAATAATAATAATAATAATAATAAAAATAATAATAATAATAATAATAACAATAATAATAATGATAATAATAATAATAAAAAAAATAATGCTAACAATAATAACAATAAAAGTAATATTAATAATAATAACAATAATAATAATAATAATAATAATAATAATAATAATAATAATAATAATAATAATAATAACAGCAATAATAAAGATGATAATGATAATAATAATAATAATAATAATACTAATAAATGTAGCAGCAAAAATAATAATAGAAATAGAATTTATACCAAGAATAGTAATGGCAAAGATAAAAAAAATGAAACCAATAATAACAATGAAGGAAACAATATTGAAAAGAATAAAGATAATAAAAATGAAATTAATGATAAGAATAAAACAAATAATGAAATAAATGAAGATAGTAATAAGAATGATAATCATAGAAATAATAGTGGTAATATTAGTAACAATGACGATGATACTAGTAGTAATAATAGCTATTCTAGTAAATATTTAGTTTATTCTTCGAGACTGTCTGGAAATTTCTGTAATAGTAACATTACTCAAAGTCAGAATCACCAAGATGGTTTTCGCAATTTAGAAAACAATAATATCAACAATGGTGGTATTAGTGCCGATGGCAAAATTGCTGAAAACAATTTTACAAATTCGAATGAAAATAGTAAAAATAATAAAATAATAAATAAATCATATGACCAATACGACTCTACTGGTCACCCTGATTCGTTATTTGGTAAAAACAATTCAAATAATGGTTATATTTCGCCATCATTGAGAACGTCTAGTTCGAATTCACGTTTAACCCCAACTCATCATCGTCAACTCCAATCACCCAAAATTGAAGAGCACCAGCGTTCATCAAATTTATCATCACAGTCACCAAGTGGTAACAAAGGAAATTTAATACACCCTAATATCATCAAACATGAAGCGGGAATTAAAGATGAGTTAGACGAATTTAACACAAAAACAAGAATACCGTCATCAGTCGATGACAAATCTAATTTATATAGCATCAAAAGTGGCACAAATGGTGGTGGTTCGTTTAAGCAAGAAATTATCAAAAATGAGTTAAAATTAAAAACTACGTCACCTCCAGTAAATATGTCGACATCACTACCAAACGTTGCAGTAGTTACATATTCAAATTTATCTAACTCAGGGCAAATTGCAATACCGACTACTTTATCCCCCGGTGCCGATAGCAGTTCCACTGGAGTTTGCAACAATAGTATTAGCAATAAACTGGACACAATAGACCATAGGAATAAATTAGTTAATGACTGCGGTTTACTAATTAATAAGACTGGAAATATTGTTTGTGGACAAGTTGCCACAAATATTTTTGAAGAAAATGATGAATATACTCCGAAACCTCGTAGGAAGCGTACTTTAAGTTCAAGTAGTAGTCCATATAAAGAAAAGAAAAAAAGAAAAGATAAAGTCAACTCGCACGTATGTGTATTTTTGAATATAAATGTCTGCTTTTATAGATTTTGTCATATTGTTTTCCATTTTAGGAGGCAATTGAAGAGTTTCCACCCACGAATCATGATCGATTACAATTGCATCAAATTAACGAGAAGGTGTTGACATCTCCAGCATCTCAACCAATTGTTTCAAAAGTTTATAGGTCATATTTTGAACAAAACGAGGAGGTGTTAAGGGGCATTCTCAAAGAAGATTGGTATTTTACAACAACATATTGGTACTTAATTTTCTTTTGATAATTTTACTTCTTTAGTGATAAAAAATATCTAGAAGAGGCTAAACGCCTAAAACATGCTGCCGACAAAGAATCAAATTGTTTTGAGCAAGTAATGCTGTATTTGGAAGCTGTATTATATTTTCTGTTATCCGGTGCTGAAATGGAGGAACATAAAAATACTGAGAAAGCTGCTTGTACAATGTACCAGGAAACTTTGTTATTAATTAAGTATGGAAAAGTATTATTTTTTTTTTCTTTTCTTTCTTTTAATACCTTATGTTTTTATAACCAGATTTATTTCGTCTAAGTTTCGCAATCAACAAAACTGTCAAGCAGACAATAACAACAAGGTTGCAATTTTAAGGTATATATTTCATAATTTAAATTAAAAAATTGTATAGTTATTATATTATTTTTTGATCAAATCTTCAGTTTACGATGTCAGTCGTTAATTTCTTCAAAACTATACAAAATGAAACGCCATGAGTATCGGGAGGTTCAAAGGATCGTTAACGATTTTTTTAATCAAAGAAATTCAACTGAAATGTTAAATGGTAATACTCCATCTTCAATATCGCCAACGAACTCCAACGGATCGCAGGTTAATTTCTTTTTAAATTAATTAAAAAAAAAATACTTAAATAAATTTAATACTTAAATACATTTGTAGAGCTCTGGTTCAAATACCCCACCTTCTCAAATAATACCAGTTTCAGTTCTTCACGCATTGCATAAACAAAATTCATTTCTTAGTTATTTAACAAGTTGCCATGATTTATGGGATCAAGCAGATACGTTGGTTAAAAAAGGCAATCATACAGGTAACAAGTTGAAACTGCTGAACATTATTAAGCATATAAACACAATAATTTTGATGATGTACATAATATAAAATACCATTGTTCATGGAATAATTCTTAATCCTGAATTAATGTATTTTCACATTACATACATACATTGCAAAACGTTTGAAATCAAAAAAGTTTAATATTACATATATTGACAATAAAACCACGTCCTCAATATTTGATAACACCTACATGTGCGATCTGAATAATGTTGAAAACCAATGATTTTGACAAAAAATAGGTGAATTGGTACAAAGCATTAGAGAAAATTTTTGCTAATTTTGGTTTGTCCTGTTATACCTGCTTATTTTTTTTAAAAATATCATGTTAAAAAAAATAAGCAGACATTCCGCAAAATGTAAAATTTCAACTTCTACATTTAACAAAAATTTTTGGTAATGAATTATATTTCTTCCAAGTTGTTGAAATCATAACAATTTTTTTTTTCAATTTATTAGTCCTTTATAAAAATTTCATTCTAAGAAGCAGTTAAGAACAGGAAAATTGTTGACTGCAAAAGCAGATACTTACATACATATATATTATGAAAATCTAGACATTTATTTTATAATACATGTATATGTATATGTTAATTAGGCAGATAAAATTAGGAAAAAATAAAAGTTCTTTGCAACAAATGTTGTTTTTAGTTACTGACTCGTACGATTAAAATTTTTGAGATAAGTGTAGTAAAAAAAATTGGTTTCGTTAGTGAAAAAACACATTCAACTAAACTTAACTTTATGTGCATTTGGAAAGAAGATTAAAAAGTTCAAAAAGCAAATTCAAATAAATATGAGGGAATATAGCAGAAACTATGTTTTTGGGAAATAACTGTGCCTTAAGAAAGTAAAAAACAATAATCCCTTGGATCCGCAACGAACTAATTAATTACTTTATCTATTATCGAATAGATAAAGTAATTAATTAGTTAATTACTTATTTCGTTTACTAGTTAATGAACTTATTTGAAAACATCTTCAAGCACTCATTTTGTTTTTTCCACACATTGTAGCACTTTTTGTAGAATAGAAATTTTGTAACGCCAAAATATAAATAATTTTAATATTCAATTTAATTTTACAGATTTCTTCATAGCACTAGATCATGAAAACGGTCCACTAACATTACATAGTTCAATATATGATGTATTTAAATATGTACAAGCGGGTTTAAGAAAATTAAAAGATTAGGGAATTTGGTTTAACAAATTACAAAAAACAAAAAAAATAAAAAAAAAAATAAAAAAAATGTAAAAGCATAAAAAAATTAAAACATGAAATTGATTATATATACTGAAAATTTTTGTAAATTGAATAAATTTTTTATATTAGGTAGAATTATTTCTTTAATATCAAATCATTTTTATCAAAATTAATTATTAATAATTTTTGTTGCATTGCTTTTAATTTTTAAAAATACATATGTAATTGAATTTTTACCATTTTTACCATCGTTATATTAATTTACTACAAATAGTACTTTTTGGAATAAGAACATTATCACTTAAATAAAAAAATGTATCAAAGCACAAAAAAAAACTATTTTTTTAGGTTAAAAACATGATCATTTTGAAAAAGCAACAAGAAAAAAATGACAAAGAAATACATATAACATTCATTATAATGCAGCAATCACGATATAAAAAATATCTTATTTTCTTTTTCAAATATCAAATTTTATTTGTCATATTTCACTTTTATTTACTGCTTAATTTATTTAAACTTAGAAATTAGCAAATTTTACCCGAGAAAACCGCAAGTGCAATTAAATACTACTAATTTTTAATATTGATAAGTTTTAATAACGTAAAAAATTGAATATTAGTACATAAGTAAACAATTGTGTAACCAATTAGAAATTCACGTTCGCATTCGTCTTCAAAATGGCTTTTTTAATCCAAAATGTTGCAGAAAAGATTAAAAATATTTGTGAACAAAATTTATATTAGGAAATATAATTATTCAATTTATTCAAAAGTAAAAACTTTTCAAAAGAATTCTATATTAGTTATTTTTTATAGGCTCCAGTTTTATAATTAATATTTAGTTTCATTGTCAAAAATCGGCATCAACATGTGAACAATTTATTATATAAATAAACGCCTTTTTTTACCAGAACATGAGATATCTAATATTTTTGATCAAGAAAAAAAATAACAATTCTAAGAATCAAGAGTAACAGAAAGAAGCATTAACTAAAGCATGTAAAGCATTTTTCCAATACAAATACACATAGATTACGAGTATCAGTGGTGTATCAGTAAAAAAACTTTAATTCCCCAAAATTTATTTAGATTTAATTTTTTTGTAACCGTACATAAAGTCTGTAATGAAAATTTGCAAGTATACCACTGTTTTTTTTTAAATTTAGTAATGCGGTTTGTCGAAATCCAAAATATTTTCTCTAATATTTATGATTAATCTTAAAAAAGCCTTTGGATCATATTTTTTAATAAAATTTATTCCTGAACAAATTAATATTTCGTTTCATCTAGATTTTCCAGCTGATATTTATTATCTTAATAAGAATGCCCTCTATGTGGGCATTATTGCACCAACCACTTTTTTTTTTAAATCAATTAATCACCTACTATAAAAACTATACAAATGATAAAATGAACTTTCTTAAAAAGTCAAAGAGTAAAATTAAAAATGGTTCGTGCAATGGGACCAAGTTACTCTTTATTTTTCGTAACAATCCAAACAGATAGTAAATTTTCCAAAATTTATTTTTCGACTGTAATTTTATAAACAAAAAAAAATAATATGTATGAGATAATATTAGTAAACATTAAATATATTTTATTATTAATAATGATTTTATAAACTACAATTTTATTGACCTGGTCAAGGATAGAAATCGTTGAAAAGTTTTGAATCATATTTTTCCAATTTTAAAATATTTTGAGTACAGTTATTTAAAAAAAATTTAATTAATATACGTAAAAAAGTTTTTATTCTCATAAAGCTTTTATTCTCATCGTTTATTAAAATTTCGTTGATTATCTTTTCGCTATACCAAATTCTACGATTCTTGATATAAAAAATTAATCTGGTATAAAACAGTAATGATGATGACTAATAAAGTTAGGTTTGAAAGCTGGTAATTATGTATGTATATTAAAAATTGGATTAAAAATTGCTTAACAGAAAAAAAATTAGTGGAACATATAAAAATGTTAAAGGCAGTCACCGCAATAATTAAAACCAAATTTATAATTTCTAAAAAGCTTGTTTAAGTAATTTTTTTTAAATGTAAAAAAATTAATAAATTTAATTAAATAATAAAATTTATAACAAAAAAATATATCTTACTTTTAATATCGTTCCGTTAAAGTGAATTAGAATTTTGTTAATTACTTGTTGCTTACATTTTTTTTTGTTTTTAGCCGCTAATTCATTTAAATTTTGCATGATATAAAATTAATCAATTACAGATCGGTTTAAGGGAAGAATTTAAAAAGTCTATAATTTAAATTTTATTAATTTTGGGTTAATTATAGACTATTATTTAACAAACAATAGGAGAAAAACGGAAATTAGAGTACAATACATTTAAAATTTCTGAAAAAAAAATAAAATATTCAACAGATTTTTTCAGAAGAATAAGTCAAGAAAATTCAATATTATTTACACATACATACGTGAATAAAGGATATCAAAACAAAACGAAAACTCAGGAAATACATATACATAATTTTTATTGTTAATTATTAAAAAAGCTAAAATTCCAAAAAAAAATTTTATTCATGCTTTAACAAACTTGTTAAATAATTTTGGCCAATTACGTATTTATATTAAAAAATTTGAGGTTCAGTTTTTGCTTTATACTTTGAAACTACACTTCTTGTTAAATTACTGAATGTAATTATGATTATATATTATTTATAATAAATTTTAGAACAATACAACACATTTTAATATGCATTCGCTCTTCTTAACATTCGAATATATTTCATGTTTTTAACAAAACGTGCACTGGCTCAAACTAAATAAAAATACGTAATTTTAAAAAATATTTTGTTAAAAATTTAAAAAAAATCAAAAGAACACATAACCAAATTAAAAACCATATTAATCGAGAAGCAATATAAAAATTTTCAACAAATAGCTAATTTAATAAAAGCTGAACGATTTTGTTTGGCCAATTAATTAAGAATGCCCATCTTTATTTATACAGATTTTTTTCCTGAAACCTAAATAAAGACAATTAATCTTTTCTAAATTGTGTTTTAAATATTATATTAAATGTTTACGTATATATGTGCTTATTCTAAATCAAATAAACAATTATAATCTTGGCTGAAGAAAAAAACAAAAATTTAAAAGCATTCCGAAAAAATCATGTCCTTTCTAATTAAAATTAAAAATGTAAAAATTTTTATTTAAATTTGCAAAAAAAAAAAAGAAAATTTTAATTCTTGTTCAAAGCCGTGTAAATTACGATTCTTATTTTTAATTATGCAATGTACTAAATAACCTTTTGAAAGTTCAAAAGTAAAAAAAAATTGATTACTTACTATCACTTAAATTTTTAATTTTTTTACATATTTATTTTATCGTTCATTTGTACTTATATAATAAGCATATGAGCTCGTTTTATAAAATGTTACGTAATTTTTTTTTTTTTAAATTGAATTAATTATTATTTAAATTAGTTAAAAAAAGAGAAAATTCAATTTTAAATTGATTTTAAATTTAATATATGTAGATACATATATATATGTATATATATGCATATATATATATATATATATATATATATATATATATATATATATATATATATATATTATATATATATATGCATATTTATTATAATTATGAATTTAATATATGTAGTTACACATATATATATGCATATATATGCATTTTATATATATATATATATATATATATATATATATATATATATACATATATATATGCATATTTATTAAAATTGTATAAATAAGCGAATACTTTAAATATGATTACACAAATTTCATAAACTTTATTTTTTTTTCGTATTAAACAAATTAGGATTTTAATATAAAATCACTAATAAAAAACTGTAAATTTTCATTTACTTTTTTTTGTATTGTTTTTATTTTAAGTAAATTTAAATTTATTGCAGTTAAGTTATGTATTTAAATAGAGTTTAGTTATCAAAATTTTAAAAAGGAAATAGCTATTATAAAACTATTTCGTTTGTAAAGCAAAAAGAAAAAATTTGAATACAATTAAAATAATTTAGTTAATTAACTACTAGGATGTATAAATAAATTACTCTGTAAAAAGGATTGATAAAAATAATATAATTAATAATTAATTATTATATAAATACACATACATTATTACTATTTTTATTATTATTATTGTATTATTGAAAATTAAAATTATTAAAAAAAATGACGAATTTTTTATTAATAACTATGGAGTTCATGAAATTATAATATCAACGTTATGCTTTCAATTTTTTTTATATCATATTAAGTTTCACTAGATTTCTTTAATTTTTTGTTATTTTGATGTTCTTGTTTTGTACAAATAAATATTTGAAAATGACGAAAATATTTACTTAAAATAAAAATCATTCGAGGAAATAAAAAGAGGGTAATAAAAAGGTGATAAAAAGGAACCTGATTTTATCAAAAATTAAATAGATATTTATTTAATTAAAGTTAAATTTCTTTGTGAGTTAAATTTTTAAACCATCCATTTGTATTACTTGCACTAATATGTATGTTTCATTAACTGTAGTTAAGGTATTTTATTTAAAACTATAACTTTATTCTAGTAAAATTTTTTATTTAAGGATTTTTGCAGCACAAAGTCGAAATTGTGTTATTATAATTCATAATGCAAAATTAGGATAATCGGAAAGTAATCAAAAATGTGCATCAATGCAGCGTTGATGCAAAAAAAAGTTGCTGATGCTACACCGATGTGATGCGTTTACCATGCTGATGCAATATTATTTTGTCTTTTTGGACACTTTCTAAATCATATGTTTTTTGGCGTTTATTTTAAAAAGGTTTTGTATAAAAGTATTAAAATTATTAACAACTGAAAATTTATTAAACATTTTTTTTTTAATTTCAATTAAGTTTTTGAGATTTTAATATAATGGAACATTCAAAAATATTAATACCGGGCATAAAGAAATAATTAACTTTGTTATTTATTGAGTATAAATAATAAATTATTTAAATTATTAAATTATTTGTTTCTCAGCTTCCACTTAAAAAACTTTGCATCAATACAAAATCGCAAAAAAAAAGTGATGCACAGCTGATTTAATGTGATGTGCATACGATGCGTATTTTTGACATTTTTGGACACCAAACTAATGCATTTTCGTACGTGATTTGTACATGATTACACATCGATGCTGCATCTATTACTTTCCGATTATACCCTTAATTTAAAAATCTTTAATCTTTTCCTTTGCAATTTGAAGTTGTTTTAACAAAATTCTCTCATATACTCTCACTTCACTACGGTTTTATTGTAAGAAGTGTATTTAACTACGATTCTTCTATACCTAGTCCGCGCGCGGCTCTAGCAAAATATACAATTTCCATTGGAAAAACCCCCCTCACAGCACGATGCAGTTAGTCCAAGACTAACGACCTCTTTCAAAAATAAGGTTACTTTCATACAAAAAATAAAGCAAAACTTTTGACCTTTTCATAATTTATCTATACACATTGACATAGAGAGTGATATATCGATGGTGAAGCGCACAGATATGCTAAGTCACAAATTTTTCAAAATGCGTTTTTTTACACCAATACTAATTTTGAACGGTCCTCTTTTTGTGGTATAGATTTCATTGCTGTACGTGTATTAGTTTGCGAGATTGGTGTGGGTAAAGTAGGTTAAGTGCAAGGTCGAAGTAGCCAAAAAAGGCCAAGTGCTTTCTTAGAATGTTTAGATTACCAAAGCTGACATATTGATGAAGCATAAATATGCTACGTACATCAGTTGTAATCGAGGAATACTTATATTGAAATTTAGTAGAAAAATAACTTAACATAAAACTCAATATTATTTCGCTATTTTGCACACAATTATGCTAAGTGCATAACTTGCAAAGCAAAGTTAAAAAGTAAAATTTTACATTATTAGCCATTTTATGCTAAGTGCACGACCTATTGTGGAAAAATTCAAATTTAATTAAAAATAATTACTTAAAATAAAAAACTAATTTAAGTAGTTTAATTAAAGAACAATTTAGGATGAAAATTAAACTGTGTAACGTTAATCTAATTAGCTGGCTTCTTTTCGGAAACTTGCAAACTTTCAAAACGCTGGCCTGCACAATTTTAAATTTGTTATTTAGCATATCTGTGCGCTTCACCATCGATATATTTAATAAAATTATTTGAGTTTCTGAAAACGCAAATTATGTAAATGCATAATAGGTAGGAAATCTGGATTATGTATTTATAAGTATGTACATACCAATTTTCTTTGCTCAATAAAACTTCAGTTTTTACTGTTCATACCTGTTACCTGTAAACATGCTAAGGAAAATCAAGAGAAAATTATTAATTCTAAAAATTTTTAAAGTTAATTCTTTGTCGCCCCTTTTTTGCTTGTTTTTTTCAACATTTCATTTGTGTTTCTAACGTTTCATTTCAGGGTTTCAGTTGACTGAAACATTGTAATGCTTTTATCTCTTCACCGCCTTTAAAAGTTTAAAATCTTGACTGGCCACCTACATACTAAAATACACACCTGTACACTAAAAGGACGTAAAAATTCAAAACAAATAATGGCGATTTTGCTTTGTCTCCGGCATGTTTTGTTTCATTAAAAAATTTGTATTTAAAAATAATGCACATCAATGTTGTTGAAAAAGAACACAATCATTTTTTAATCAAAATATTTTAAAGAGCCTGCAAGCTCTTGTTTCTTAATAAATAAATTTTCTGACATCCGTTAATTTATATGAAAGTGTTGAAAACATTTTGTGCAGAAGTTGTTTTTATATTATTTTTTTATATGAAGTGTTGTTTTCTCATCCTTGTAAAAGAGTGGAGAGAAAAATCAGCTGATAGTAAGCAATAAAATTTAACTGAGCTATTTATTAATTTTTATCTCATCAAGTGAATTAAATAAAAGGTACGCACATTTTTTGTATGAAAGTTTATTTTTGAAAGCGGTCGCTAGTCTTTGACCGTGCGCGTTATTGCTGTGAGGGGTATTTTTCCAATCGAAATTGTACATATAGCTTGAAACGCGCGCAAACCGATTGTAGGAGAGTCAATTTGACACAAATATAAAATCATAAAGTACTGTTTAGCTATATGAAAAAATCTAAAATTAAACCTACTACAAAGTCTAAAACCTGCTTACATGTCAGTCTAGAATGATCTTAGACTTTATGTCAAAATTTAACAATTTGATACCAAAATTATAACCAAAATAAAAATCTCCCATCTAATAACTACAAATTATTAATAAAATTATAAAAATTAGAACCAGCTGGTCGGTTCTTAAAATTTATGGTAGAATTCATTGTCCCCATTTTACTTCTGTTATTTATATTATTTGCCGCCAGTGCCAAATAGGGTTTACATATACGACTTTCCACAGATTCAGAATAATTCGTAGATTTCGTCTATCCGTGAGTATGTAAACAGTAACTAAGAAAAAAAGACATGTCAAATTCCGACACAAAGATAATAATACATACATCAAAGGTAATTATTATGAATGTCAGAAAAGAAAGTGCTAAAACTTTAAACTCTAACTCAACTTGCATTTTTATTACTATCCAGACGGTTTGGCGTCAAGAATTTTACCGTTTCAAAAACAAAAAAAAAATTCCTTCAGTTTAATCGTGTCACTTCATTTGATTTTCGTAATTTTAAATTAAAGGTGGGTTTGTTTCAGTTAAAAACACCAATAAAAAAACATTTTCAATGTTTTAAAAAAGTTTTAAATTTACGAATTTTCAAAAATACATTATGATTAAAAATTTGTAATTAATATTTTGAATATTGAAAAAGATCCAATTTTTAAAATCCAGTTAATTTTTTAAAAATACTTTTATATTGGTATCAAAATTATTAAATAAATCATATTGAAGAACTTAACATTTTTAAATTAAAATAATAAGCAAATTTCAAATGCCACAAATTCTTGATAAAAAGCGAACTAATACAATAAATTAAAGAGAGCGTTGTAGCTGAAAATCAATTAAAATTGGCGGCATGATGTATGGAAGAATACGTATGTTCACGTGCTCCGAAAGGTAAGGTAAGTATCAAAGTTAAAGCTATTCCAAAAAGTTATGACTAAATATTGACTAGAACACATATTATCTTGTAATTGAGCTTGTCCAATTTTTATGTTATAAAAGATAATACAAGAAAACCGTTATTGATCAAAGCCATGTTGTTGATATGTTTGGAAATATTAATGTGTTTTAGTTTTGTTTTCGTTTGAGCATCCTAAAAGTTTAATTATACAAATTTCTGGTAGATTTTTGTTGAAATTAATTATTTTTGTTGAAAGTAATTAGT